CAGTCCCAAGCCGCGGTCCAGGGCCTGGCAGCCCCGCCCCCCACCCCCTCCTTGATCCCTGAGGAATCTGGGGAATTGGAAGTAGGTCCAGATGATGTTGACACAGGAAACGGTCAGCAGCTGCCTGGCCTCAGCCCCATAACCCCCACGGACCCCCACCGCCGGCCCCCTGCTGAGCCCCCTCTGACCTGTGTCATCTCTGATGGAGGCAGCCCAGGGCCCACTCATCTCCCACCAGGATGTTTACAGATGGCAGGATGGAGTCAGCGTCACAGGGCTTCCTGAGAAATGGGGTCTGGACTCCTGGACATTCGCCCTCAGACCCGGTCCCTGGCCCCCTCTTCCCTCATACTCAGGAGTCTGGAAACAAAGACTTGTGGCCCCAGGAGAGCTGAGCCCCCTCCTCACTGTGCTGAAAAGTTGAGTGGAGGGTCACATGGGGTGAACTGGGAAGTACGTCCCAACCCAGCCCAAGTCAGCCTCCAGCGCCACCACCAGAAGAGACCAAACCGGAAGTTTGAGGACCTCCAGTTGGACCCTTACCCATTTTTGGGTGGGAAGACTGAGGCCTAAGCAGGCGAAGGGTCTCTGTGCCCAAGAGTCAGCCTTGCCCCTGAAGCCCTCAGATCTCTGTGCCAGGTGTGGCCATTCCCCTCTGGGAGGCCTGGAGGGCTGTTGAGACCAGGGGACTCCTGAGACAGTGCCCAACTTCCCCCCATTTTCTCCTTGCCCTCCTAAGTCCCCTGGTTGCTAGGGGAGTCTCCTTAACAATGGGGCTCAGTGGGGCCTTCTGAACTTAAGGGCCCTCTGCCCTTGGTGGCTAGGGGGAAGACCGCTGGCAATGAGGTCTGAGGAGACTTTGGGCCACCTGGAGATGCTGAGTCCAGGCCTCAGGTTACTAACAGGGACTTCTTGGCAAGGACTCTGGGTGCCTACCCCTTGGGTTCCCTGGTTGGGAAGGAACAGAGACCTTAGACCCCCACCCATTTCCACCTAGGTGGTTAAGGAGGCTCTTCTAATATCAGGACCCCACGCCACTCCTAAGGCCTCTTCCACCTGGTTGCTAAGAAAGCAACTCCCTAGCAACCAGGCCAGTGTGACCCCCCCCCTTCCTTCTTCCACATTGCTAAGGGGGCTCCCTAGCAACAGAACTTAGAACATGGGGCTGGGTGGGCAGGAGGGTGGGGCTGAGCTGGTTGCTAGGGTGATGGTCTTCAAGCTCTCACCCCACAGAGGACCCAGGTGTCTGGGGAGACAACATGGTGGGGTCTGGGATCCCAGCTTTGAGCCTCTTCTTGCTGATACAAGGCTCAGTAGGTGAGGGGCCCCAAAGAGAGGGTCAGAGAGCTGAGCAGGGGTCCTCCTCAGCCTCCACACAGCCCCTGATGCTTTCTCTTTTCTTTCACAGATGGGAATGGAATCCAGGGGTTTTTCTATCCATGGAGTGAGCAGTGACTAGATCCTGGGTCCCCAGGGATAGGGCCTGGGGGGCCTGGACTACTGGGTCTGAGGGAGGTGGGCGGGGAGGAGGGGCTGGGGGCCTAGATTCTTGGGTCTGAGGGAGGAGGGGCTGGACTTTGACTTCTAGGTCTGAGGGAGGAGGGGGCTAGAGGTCTGGGCTTCTGGGTCCCGTACAGAGCAAGCACTACATAGTCAGTCCTCAGAGCTTGGCTTTGGGACCCTTGCTCTCTTGAGTCCCTGGGGCCAGACTCTAGGATGAAGCTGCTGCTCATGGTCGGTCCTCAGGCTGTGAGGGAGACGTATGGGACCGGGAGAGCTGTGGGGGTCAAGCAGCACTTGAGAACCCCAATCTCTGTCTGCGTCTGCGATGCTGCTACCGAGATGGGGTCTGCTATCACCAGCGGCCGGACGGTGAGTGGAAGCTGGGGTCCCCGGGGTGGGGGCTTACAGCTGGGATCCCTGGGTCTCAAAGCTCCAAACTTTGTTCAGAAAACATGCGGAGGAAGCACATGTGGGCGTTGGGCTGGACATGCGGAGGCCTCCTCTTCCTGATCTCCAGCATCTGCTTGTTCTGGTGAGTAGGGTTGGGGTTTGGGTGGGCACCCTGCTCCCAGAGGAACGGGTGGATGAGCTGAGGCTGAGTGTGTGCTCTCCTCGCCAGGTGGGCCAAGCGCCGGGATATGCTGCACCTCCCAGGGTTCCTACAGGACAAATGCAACCTGTCCAGGACTGTGTCTCTGTTATCCAAGGACCGGGGAACTCTGAGCGAAAAGAAGGGATCCATGGGCAGCACGCAAGCCTCCATGCCTTTGGAGGGGACCCTGGACATCTCAGGGGCCACTGAAGGGGAAGGGACAGAAGGGGGCGAAGAAACGGAAGGTGGGGAGGACGATGATTAGGGGCACCCCTGGGGGGACCCCTCAATACAGATATAGCACACAGACACCTGATCTCTTTTCTGGGAGCCATGGGAGCAGGAGGCAGATATGACCTTGAGGCAGGGAGTGTGTGTGTGTGTGTGTTTGAGTGACAGGGAGCTGGACTGTGATCATGGAGCATGTGAGCTGAGTGGGTAGAATGAGAGGGGTCTGAGGGTAAGTAGAGAGGATCTGAGCTGAGGGGTACCTGGGCAGATGGGGGCCCCAGGCTGATTGAGGGGGACTGGGCTGTGATTATGGGGTGTTGGGACTGAGGGGGTCTGAAATGAGGGATGAGGGGGTCAAGTGGGGGTAGCCTGGGCTTGATGGGGCTGAGAGGGCAGCTAGGCTGAGGGATGCCTGAACTGGGCTGGGTGGGGCATGCTACAGCCAGGGGGATGTACCCCCTCAGCTCTCTTCCTGCAGGGAGCACCACTGCCTGATAGCCTCTGCTGCCCCACCACGGGATTGTGCTTCCCGCCTCCCTGACTGCATTTGACAGGCTTCCCACCAATGTCTGAGCATGGCAGGGGGCCTGCAGGACTTGTGCCTCCCCCAGCAGGTGACGTCAACTCTCAGACCCCCAGTAGGCTAGTGGAAATTTTCTTGGAAGTACGTTACAGTTCAACACTTGTCCTGCCCACCCCTCCTTCCTTCCCCCTCTCCTTTCTCAGTGCCAGACCCGCACCAACCTCCACTGCATAAGTCTTTCCTCCAGTAAATATTTTGCAAGTCTAATTTGTCCCTCTTCTTCCTGGAGGGCCCCCAACTAATAGAGGGGTCCCGGCAGAGGGAGGTCTGAACAGAGAGGATGGGTCTCGGCTTGAGATCCTGCCCCTCATCTCCCTCTGGGAGAGGCCAACATGAAGCTGGGCTCCTATATCCCCAGGGGCTTTAGGTCCCCCAAGGGCATGGGTGACCCCTCTGTGGGTGTGGCCTGGGAAGAAGAAAACAAGTTCACACTTGCCCCAGTGTCATCCCTCCCCCAGACAGACAAGCAGAGCTGGGAGGCAGAGCCATTTATCCAGGTGACATAGAGAGAGCACATCCTGTGGCCAGATGATGTTGAAGGCAGCTGCACATCTCAGTTGGGTCCTGACAGGTGGGGCTGTGGGTTCATCTGCAGGAGGGAGGGTGGGGTTAGTGGCTGCTTGAGACCCCGTAACGCTCTGTTCCCTGTGCCCACCACCCAGTGACCTGCTTCAGCCCCTCACATATTGACTTACACACTTGCCCACTGGCTCTTCCATGCCAATTTGCTGCACTGTGCATGTGACTTTAAGTCATTGGAATCTAGTGGATACAGGTGGGGAATGAGAGACCAGGAGACACAGAGGTGCAGAGACAAAAAGACATGGGAGACAGGAAGAGAGACTGAGATGGAGACACAGGGACTGAGAGAGAGAGAGACAGGCAGAGACTGACAATGAAGACAGAGGAGAGAAATGACAAAGAATGGGAGTGGCTCTGCATGGCCACTCAACTAGCTTTGGTCCCAGAGGGAGAGGTGTGCAATTAGAGCCAGGGCCTATGGGTCCTTCTGTTAAAATTCAAATTCTCTGTCCTTCAAGCCCTTCACCCTCCCCCTTGAGGAGGAGTCCTGTGTCTGGACAGGCCCCTTTTCCTTCTAAGAGGGGCTACACTCAAGTCAGCTTGGCCAGTTTCTGGCAGGTTGTTCCAGCAGTGGATGTCCACCCAGCTGTGTGAGACTTCTGGGCAACGTAAGAATTTTCAGAGGTAATTTTAACCACAGGTGGTTATTTCTGCATTATAGACCAAATTTTGTGTTAGCTCACGCTTCACCTATGCATATAGTTGTTCATCCTTTCTTACAAAACTGATTCAGTCACTCATCCATCCATTGTTCCATCTATCTATTGGCCCATTAACCATCCATCCATCCATCCATCTACCTATCTGTACAAACCATCCAGCCAGTCACCCATTCATCCATCTACCCATTGCCAATCCAATTATCCATCTATCCACCCACCCACCCATCAATCCAACTATATCCACTCATCAACCAGGCTATCCATCATTCCATCTACCCATCAATCACTCATCTACTCATCCGTCAATCCAACTACATCCATTCATCAACCAGGCCATCCGTCCAATCACCCATCTATCTGTCCATCATCCATCTACCTACCAATCATGAACCTCTGATTTCCTGAGTTCATCTTTTGCTGGGCAGTGCGAAGACCAAAGATACTAGCAACCCAGGCCTTACCCTCAAGGGGCTCCTGTCAGGTGGGAATGACAGTACCAGCACACACAGACATAACACATGGTGATACAAGCCATAATGGGTAACTCAGACAATATGAAGACCCAGAAAAAGGCAGTGGAAGCCAACTGGGGTGAGAGCCTGTCTGTCTATGGACTGAGGGATGTCGTCATGATTGCTGAGAAGGCAGGAGATGTGGGTCTAAAACATGGGGGGCCCACATGCCAGTGAGAGGCTTGGGTTTAACCAGAGGGCAACTGGGAGCCACAGCAGGTCTTTGAGCAGAGGGAGGGTGTGTTTAGGAAAGGGGATAGAAGGTAGAGGAGAAAGGGGACGGAATGAGTCTTTCCTGCATCTTGGTCTCTGTTGCCATCACTCTCCTGCTTCAGATAGTCATTTCCACTCTTTCCCCCTCTTTAGGCTTTTTTTTTGTGAGGAGGATGACAGATGTGTGCCCGTGGGCAAGAGATGGCACCTTTCTGGGCCTCAGTGTCTTACACTGGGATGGGGAGGATAAGAGTAGTGACTTCAGAGACTCAGTTACACTGAGAGGATTAAATGGGACCTGGTGAGCCTGGGGACTGGAGTGCAGGGAGGAACCTCCAAGCTAACAGTGGCTTTCCCATGCTCGTGGAGGCGGGGGCGGGGGCGGGGGCAGGGTTTAATTTGTCTCTCCCAAGTCTGCACTCATACCTGCTGTCTCTCTCCATCCTCTGGGTCTCTGCTTCTCTCCTTTGAGAAGAAATCTTGACCTGGTTCTTTCTCCCTCTCCCTCCCTCCTCTTCCCCCTACTCTCTCTCTCTCCATCTTTCCCTGTCTAATTCCATTTCTCCCACAGTCCTTCCATCTCTTCCTCCCTATCTCCTCCGCAGTCCCTCTCTCTCCCGTCGGTCCCTCCATCTCTCCCACAGTCCTTCCCTCTCCCCGCCCCACCATCCGGACCCTCACCTCGGGCTCACTCGCTGCCCGCGCCTGCCGCCCCGGGCCCGGCTTCGAGCGTGGCGAGCTGCAGGCGCACGCGGCGGGAACCAGAGGCGGTCGGCAGGGGAGTGCGGGCGGCGCGGCGCGCTCCGCGAGAGCCGGGCGCCGCGCGCGGGCCGGCGGCGGTGGAGGCGGCGCACCTGCAGCTGCGCGAACACGCCCGTCAGCAGTGCCGCCATGCCCGCCACGTCCAGAGCCACGGCCAGTAGCAGCGCCATCCGGCAGCGGCCCAGGCCGGACGCCGGCGCGGGCGCGCCTGCCGGCGGGGACTGTGCCCCCGGCGGGGGCCCCTGCGAGGCGCACGCCGCTGGCGCTGCCGCCATGGCCCTGCTTCGCCGCGTTGGCTCCGGCCGAGAGCGTTCCGGGTGCCGCCCGGGCAGGGGCGGGGTCAGGGGACGGCGCCAGGTGTGCCCAGCGCCCGCCAGGTCACCTGAACCGGGCGGGTGCGGACGGGCCCGGTTCCGGGCGCCCTGGTCGGGGTTTCTGTGCAGGGCCTGGCGCTCAGGGATAGGGTGGCCTAGCGCCCCTGCACCCCAAGGAGCGGAAGCAACGCATGGTCAACATTCAGTGCTCTCTAATGGAGGCAAGGCAGGGCCCTGTGGAAGCCCGGGCCTTGTTCTGTTTAGCCCGCCTCCAGGGGCCTCCTGTGAACTCACAGTGGGGACAGTGGGGTCAAAAACAAGGATCAGACAAGGCCGTGGACCCCAAGTAGCTCTGGGACGGAGGGAATCAGCAGTCAGGTTAGGTGCTCTTGTGAGGACCCCAGTTGGAACCCTAAGCCAGACAGGCTTATTCTAAAAATACCCCAGCCTTGAAAAATAAGAGGAAGCCATACTTCAGCTACTGCAGCTAGACTTAGCAGGAGTATCCTGTTCAGACACCAGAGTGTGGTAATAACAAACTGAAACTTAATATCACAAGAAATGATTATAGTAAAAGCTTAGATTTCCAAGAAATGGGTTGAAATTTTACAGAAGTATTTTTTTGCAACTGGTTTGAGACATCTCACCAAAACTAACAGCTCTTCTTGCTTCTGTA